CAGCACAGTGCCACACTCCCAGCTCCGCTTATCTGCTGCCAGGCTGACCAGCTCTGGCTGTAATTTCATGCTGTTATAAGCAATCACACTTGTAAAGCAAAAATCACGGCTGTGTTTCATGACACAGAATGTGAAGGAGGCTTTTAAGCGCTGGAGAAATCCCAGCTGATGGCTCATCCCTCTATCCCTGTGCTGGCACCGCTTCATCCCGATGCCCGGACATCCCCGCAGCCACCCCCTCACCCACAGCTTTCAGAGCAGTCACAGAAAATAATTTCTTCCTAATATTTAATCTAAACATACCCTCAAAGCCATTCCCACCCACCCTAGCACTGCACACCCTTGTAAAAGTCCTCCCCATCCTCAGTCTCCTGCACAGCAGCAGCCCTGGAAGGGGCAACCCTGCTTTTACAGGGTAAAGAAAAGGTAGCAAGCCCCAGGTGGAAGCAAGAATCTCCAACCTGGCTGTGTCCCACACCTGCCCTCGGCTCCCAAACCTCCTCAGTGCTGCCCTGTGACAAAGAGTGGGTGGCCCAGTGGTGGATGTGGGGTGACAGAGCTCCCCTGTGTCCCCCTGACTCCCTGCTCAGGGATGAGGATGACGCCTGGTTGTGCCTCTCACCGTGTCACACAGCCTGGCACACGCACCTTGTTAGACAGGCAGGGAACGTGTGGTGTGTTTTGGGAAGGAAACAAAACTCCGTATGGCGCTCTCCATCTGGGCTGAAAGGCTGCCTGCAAGGAAGGAAGGACAGCCAAGAGTGCAGACCACTGTCCCAGGGTGACAAAACCTGTCCTGCTCCCAGCCCAGCCCCCCTGCCCGTGTGCCACCGACCCCACCAGCATGGGGCAGAGGGTGTGGGGGCCCCGGCTGTGGCAGGCGGGTGGCACAGGGAGGGCACAGCGAGGACAGCGAGGGACAGGATGTCAGGCTGCGGTGACGCAGCTCTTTGGCAGAGCAGGAGAGGACTGAGAGCAGCTCGGCTGAGCCCTGGGGCTCCAGGGGAGCTGGGGGAAGAGTTTCTCCGCCTGTGGCTGGCGATTTTCAGCAATGAGCTGGGCCAGGGAGGGCACAGCCTGTGGCTCTCTGGCAGGGACGGGCTGAAAACGCTGCGGGTTTGCTCCGAGCTGTGAGGTGGCTCTGACACCCTGCCCAGGGACAGCCCCCACACCCCTGATTTCCACTCTTGCATCCCTGGAGAGTCCACAGTGGGGAAATGCAATGGAAAATCTTTTATAGGAGCAACAACTCTCCCCAGTCGTTTCATTTAGATCAACACAGGACGAGTCTGTGAGGAAAAGGCTGTAAAGGGAGGTGAGAAGCTCTCAGGGCTGTCAGCACGGCTGGCTCCTGACAGCCCAGAAACCCCCAGATCCAACTGGGCTTAATCCTCGACCCTGCCACCGTCCTCACCTGTCCCCATCCTTCCTCTGCTGCCAGGAGGGACGGGGCTGCCATGGATCCACAGCTTTTGGCAGCTTTCTGCCCTCCCAGTCTCCCACCAAAGCCTTCTGCAGATCCCTCCCTCCTCCAGCACCTCCCCAGCCCTGTGAGTTTTCTCCTCCTGCAGTAAACAATGGAAAACCTGAAGAGTTTTAGGCAGGAGACCGTGTGCTTTCCACCCCTGCATGCCCCGTGCTCATGGCCTGGCTCCTGCCAGGACTCCTCCCAGTGGTGCTGTGTCCAAAGCTCCAAGTCAACAGCTTGTCCTGGGGCTGTGAGGATCAGGAGGAGCTGGTTGGCACTTCCCTTCTCCCATCTGTCTCTAACAGCAGGGAAACAAAGCTTTGGAGGGTGGGGAAGAGCTGGCAGTGCTCAGGGCCCTCCTGAGCCTGGGTAAGGCTTGGACTCCAAGATCCCAGAGGTCTTACCCAACAGAAATTCTACAATTCTCACCCATGAGCTTTCCATGCCCTCATCCTCCACCTTCCCTGGGCAGCCTGGGCACCCCAGAGCCTGGACACCATCCTGCTGGGTGAGGCCTGTGCTGGCAGGGCCGTGCCATCCAGAGCCAGCCTCGTCTCGGGAGGGGGATTATTGATCTGCATCAATAGAGGCCAGAGCCTGCTGCAAAGTGTAATTCATTGATCAGTAAGTGCTCCGAGATCCCAGATGAAAGAGCCACATAATTACCAAGTATCATCCAGTGGCCCTGGGAGTAATTGTGATAACGGCTCAGGGTTAGCACTGGAGAGGCAGAATTACCTCGGTGCTTAATGTCACCCTCCAGGGGCAGAGCGTGTCCTCCCTGTGCCACCTGGAGGGGACTGGAGAGCGTGGCCACGGGAAACAAAACCCCCCTGTGCATTCCCTGGGATGCTGGTCCCTCTGGAGAGCCTGGGGACAGCGGGAGGGTGGTCAGGAAGGTGCAGGGTGAGGGGCTGCTCTCCAGAGTCAGAGCAGAGAAGGGATCTCTGGCTCCCAAAATTATTGGGAGGTTGGACAGGACCACTGGAGATCTTCATCAGTGAAGATCACCCATCACCAGGACTGCAGGAGCCTGGTGAGCACCTTGGGGTTTCCAGAGGAAGGCACTGGAGCCTAAAAACTGCGGCTCCAGAATTTCTGATTATGCTAAAATTCACCTCCATGTGGGATTCTCTGACAATTCCCAGCCTTATTTTAGATTTTTATGGTCTGCCATAAAAGCAGTAATAGTAAATTATTAGACCTACGTGTGGGCTGTCAGGAGGCTTCTTCCCTATGAAATCCCCCAGGATGTTGTGTCCTCCCTGCACTCAGCTGGGCTCTGTGTCCCCTCCAGCCCCAGCACAAGCTGGGCTCAAGGCCACCAAGGCTTTGGGGACCTGGGGCTTTCCCAAAGAGCTTTTCCCAGGTGTGTAAAACCCTCCTGGGAATCAAACCCAGTCCTCACTGTGTCATCCTAATGGCCAGGTCAGGGAGAGCAGAGCAGGATTTGCTTCCGTTGCCAAGCACAAAACAAAAGCTGATCTCCTGGGTGCTGGGGAGAGATTTACAAATTTCCCTGCTTTATTCCATTAACCCCGTGGCTGCTCGGGGATCTCAGCAGTGCTGACTGCAATAAAGTGACCTCCTTTAACCTGCAGCCAAGGCTCCTTCCCACTCTCCCAGCTCCCAGCCCCGCCTGAGCAGCTCTGGTGTCATCTCGGGGTGACAGGAGGGGGACAGGGCCATCTCCCCGGGGGTCACAGAGAGCTGAGCTGCCGTGGAACATGCTGGAGTCACTCAGCTGACACACACAGTAACTCCGTGCCTCACACACTCATTGTCTGCAACTGGAAATGTCTCTCACAGGGCTGGGATTGGGGTGGGGTGGGAACCACGGGGGTCAGAAGCATCCTGGGGTGCTGCCTCGGTCCGTGCCTGGTGGGACAAGCAGGCAGAGGATGCGTGGCCAGCAGGGTCACACCAAAGCACCAAATAATGCAGTGGGTTTAGGGCTGGCTAAAATCACCAGGGCATTTATTTCTCACTGTGAGATACAGCTTAGGAGAAGGGCAAAACAGGCTTAAAACTGAAAAGGAATAAAGAAACTTAACAGGACTACAAGAATAAGAAAGATCAGAATAAAACCTCCAGAACACCTTTCCTCCCCCTGCCCAACTCTTCCCTTTCCCAACTGACCACGCAGAGACAAAACCTGGGATGTTAAAGCAGCACCAACTGTACAATAATCTTTCATCAGCCCTTGTAGGGAGAGGGGTTTTCTCTTGTCATGCCACGGAGATTTCTCCACCAGGAAGAGTTTTCTCGTGGCTCTGTGCCCCATGGAGAGGCAGGACCTGCTCCGAGCTGCGGGAAACCTGCACTCTCAGAACCCGTGCAGGAGGACGGGCAGCAGCAGCCACAGCCCTGGCTGCTCCAGGAGCGCTTCCCTGGCGGCAGGCTCGTGTTTGCACTCCCCAAATCTCACGGCAGCTTGTGCCACATCTCCCAGCTCGGAACGCACCCGCTGCCACGCTGGAGCTCTGCCACATGCTGCTCTTCTTCCTCCTCCTCCTCCTCCTCCCCAGCCTCCCTCCCAGCCCTGCCCGGATCCCTGCGCATCCCCTGGGGCTGCTGTGCCGGGATCTCTGCCCACCCTTCCCAAAACGGAGCGATTCCCTGTGCAGAGCCCCGGCCGGACCCTGCCCGGAGCTGGGAGTCCCAGGCTGGCATCCAGGGACCATCCCCTGCAGGGAAGGCTGCTGGATGCCGTGGCCGGCTGTAGGGAGCGACAGGAGCCGCCTTAGAGGCTTCCATGGCCACAGATCCCGGCTCCAGGCGTTATTCCAGAGGCTGCGTTCACCCGGGAGCGCCGGAGCTTTCTCGCCGGCCTCTCATCAGGCTGACACACAGCAGGGAGGTCCAGCGAGCTCCCCAACAGCTCTGCACGAGTGAAATGTTGTGATTTTGTTAGGGTTTCTGGGGATTGTTATCCCTGTGTCCACAGAGCTGCGGGATGGGCAGCGTGCGTGGGGAGCGCCCCCAGCTCCCCAGCCCAGGGCGGAGTGGGAGCACCCCAGCCACGCTGTGGGGACAGTGTTTTAGGGCTTTTCTTCTTAAAACAACCCCAAAGCCTCCACCCAAAGTCCCCCGGGAGGCGGAGGGACGAGGCTGGAGGCGGTTAATGGCTTTCCACCTGCGGGAGCTGCGGAAACGCTCCCAGCAAAGCACGGGCTCTGCTCCAAGCTCTTACAAGCTAATCAATGAAACATCACAGCTTGGGAGCCGGGGCAGAGCAAAGCAGCACAGGATGGATTTTATTTTTTCATGCAAAGAGCTTTAGTACAAATCCCCTTTTCCCCCCACAAAGAGAGCAAGCAGCCTCTGCGGAGGAAGCCAAGCCTGGAGCACCAGGGAGGAGCAGGGTGGGCTGGGAGGGGGCTGTCACCTCCCCTGTGAGGCACAGCCACAGTTAGTGCCACTCTCCTGCTCCTTGTGCCACCCAGTTCATGGATTCTGGTCCCTGGGAGGTGCCCAAAGCAGGGCAGGTGCAGGGGGGGTCCTGCTGGCCCAAGGCCACAGACACCACCAGGAGTGGGCTCTGTGGTGCTGCCACTGCCTCTGCAGAGCTGTGGGGGAACAAAGCACCGCTCCCTGCTCCAGCTGCAGGGGTTTTTTCTGGGACCTGAGCAATGCCACGACCTTCAGTCCCTGGGAGACCCCAACCCCCTGTTTTCACGGCACAGAAAGGGGTTGATGCGAGTGGCTGGACTGCTTTTGGCTGAATAATTGACTGTGCTGTGCTCAGGGCTGTGCTGTGTGGCTGCACGTCCCGGTAACCAGCCACTGATCCCGGCCTGTGCAGCATCTCCAGGGATTTGGTGTTTGCCTGCAGGCCGTGGGAACTGGGAGCGGCGACAGAGCAAACGCCAGGTCTGAGCGGGCTCATTACTAATTCCTCCTTGCGAGGATGATTCTCCTCATCTGTCTGTTCTCGGGATCTGTCAATGAGCCAGTTCATTCCCACTTAGGATGCGCTGTGCTGATACTGCATCACACTGATTCCAGGAGAATGTGCCTGATGCCACATCCAATCCATCACAACAGCCCACGGCAGCCATCGGAGACCTCCCTCCCCCC